GCTTAACAGGTTCGTTCCTTTCTTCTGATAAGGGTCGCTTTGGCTGACGATTCTTATCTTCAGGGGTCTTCGCTCCAGCGCTGGTGGCGCTAAGACGACGGCCGTTTGTGTCCGACAATTTTTCCATCGAACAAACTCTATATGGGGGTATGGCGTAGTGGTAACGCGTTCGCTTCGCATGCGAAAGACCCTGGGTTCGATCCCCAGTGCCTCCATTGACGCGTCGATAGTTAAGTGGTATAATAAGCGCCTTCCAAGCACTAGTGCCGGGTTCGATTCCCGGTCGACGCAATATTTTGGTTCCATGGTGTAGGGGCAGCACTTCAGATTCTGATTCTGGCAACGCGAGTTCGATTCTCGCTGGGACCTATTAATTGGGCAGATGGCCGAGTTGGTCTAAGGCGTCACGTTAAGGCCGTGATCTCTCCGGAGGCGTGGGTTCGAATCCCACTCTGCTCACTTCATCCGAAATAGTCTAGTGGTTATGATCCCGCTCTCTCACAGCGGTGGCCGGGGTTCAATTCCCCGTTTCGGAAAGCCCGTGTAGTTCAGTGGCAGAATATTTCCCTCCTAAGGAAGAGGTCTTGGGTTCGATCCCCAACTCGGGTAAACTTTTTAAATTTGTAAAATCTATTGAATTAGCTTTTTTGCTTGAGGGGCCGTTTCAACCTGTTAATCCCTCTTAAAAAATCCCTCTTCCAAAATTCCTCTTATATGTTACACACGATTAAAATAGGGATTATTTTCTTTTTTTTTAATCCAGCTACCCCCCCTGGATTATTTGAAATTACAGGATTATTTTGTCGTTTGACGTCGGTGACAATGCGACCCTCGCATGTCGCACTCGTAACGGCTCTTGTAATTCTCCTCCTTTCGACCGCATCCGCACTTGTAACTGTCGCAGCGGTGACAGCAGCCACTGCAGATGGACGGTCTAACAGGTAATCGTGTTTCTACATCCTTAACGGCTGGAAATCTAATGGTTTGTAAAGAAATGAAAGGAAACGACGATTCTCTACCCGGACTTCGGCATGGTCTGAGGTAGATGCTGATCCAGCGTTCCACGATGGCTGGTTCATCAATACCTTCAGATGCAGCCGGACCTCTTTCAATCTCATATATGGGATGGTGGTAGAACATTGGGAAGAAGTCAATGAACCTTTGGGTGATAGCACCCACTTCACCATTCGAGATCGCGTTGCTGCAACGCTGCATTACCTCACCCATATGGGCGCTCTGGCGGATACAGCAAGTGTGTTTGGGATGGGGAAGTCAAGCGTGCACCGATACATATGGCAAGTTATCGAGGTTATCCTCGTTTGCCTTCAACCACAATTTGTTGGTCTTCCCGTCACCGATGATGAATGGCAAGAGTTAAGGAGGGGGTTTGAGGACGTTTGCGGATTTCCTTCAACATACCTCGCCATTGATGGGTCTCTCATCGAAATCGAGAGGCCTCGAGACTACGAGGGCTGGTACTGTCGCAAGCTTTACCCTGCATTGAACGTTCAACTCGTCGTTGATCACAAGAAACGCATACGAGACTACGATATTCGCCCTGGATCTGCAAACGACAAGTCAATCTACAACAACTCAACATTCGGAAAGACAGTACATCTTCGTATTCCACCGGGTGGCCATATTGTGGCCGATTCAGGCTACAAGCTGTATGTGATGACGCCTTTTGAGATTCGCGACGACATGCCCGCCGACGAGCGGCGATATAACTACATGCACTCTTGCACGAGGATTGTGGTGGAGAATACGATTGGGCTTCTAAAGGGGAGATTCAGAAAGCTGAAAACAGCCTTAACGCAGCATGCAAGGATCAAGGATGGAAAGTATCTCTCGCCCACCGCTCAAATGGCACGCGTTGTTCAGGCATGCCTCGTCTTGCACAATGTTTTGATCGCAATTGGCGATGCTACAGAGATAGAGTCTTTTTACGATCTGCCTTCCTATGATCCCTACCTGAAGAGCTTGGGATTGACGCTGAGGATCCCGTTGGTGGCGAACAGGCACGAGCCAAGAAGAATCTTATCAAAGATTATCTTATGTTGTTTTCTTAAAAAGAGATCAAAAAAGAGCTTTATTTAGTCACTTTTTCGTTGAGACAAAGCTTCCTTCATTGCATCCGCTAAACTAGTCGACATCAATCCAATACACTCCTTCAAACTGCTTGTCATCACATCCTTCATAGCTGTTTTAACCGCATCTTTAAACTCCTCCATTTCCTCCGTCTTGTTCTCTCGAACTTGCGCTTGAGCTGTTGGTGCTGCCATACTTGCTGCCATCAGTGAGAGACTGTTGCTGACATGAATGAATCCATCTTTGACGCTATCACCCAAGGTGGTGATGGATGATGGCATGTCAACTTTCTGTCTCTTTGCTCCGGATCGCGCAGGAATGGTGAGGGTCTGCGAGCCATCTTTTGAAGGGGTGGATGCAGGTGTCGATCCGCCAGAAGACGACAAACGTGATGTCGCTACGTTGGGATGGCCATCACTGCGGCAAGATTCGTCATCATTGTGGTGGGTGTCGTCTTCATCGTCGCTATCATCACTAACCATCCCCATAGCAAGGTCGACTCCAGTATTGACATAGGTAGCTGTGCCCAACGACTCCCCTTCTAACCCTTTACTGTCCTCCAAAGTACTCCACAAGAGCGTCCCAGTAGGTTGGCACCTTAACGAGATTGTTGCCGGTCTGGGTCAGGTGCTTTCCACCGATATCTGAGCGCATTTTCTTGAGAGCCTTGAACTTGGTCTTCACCTGCTCGACTGTGAACTTCACGGAATGAACAGAGTTGACTTCAAGCACAATCCTCCTCCAAACGTCTTCCCCTTTGTGCTTCTCCTTCGCACGAAGATACTCCTCTTTGAAAGTAACGAGTTTGGCCTTCAGCAGGGTCTTTATCATGCCGTCTGTCCATCTGATATCTTCGTTCACGATGGGGACTTTATCCTTCTTTTGTCTTCCTCGCTTCTTTTAGGTGCAGCGGGCGTTTCAACCAACGGCGGCGGCAACGGGGGGGGTTCGTCATGGTCATCCATTTTTTTTCCGAATTGTCTGGATGAGTCCAAAGTTCGAAAAGAATTATTTACAGGGATTATTTCATTTATTTTTTGGAGATATACTTGGGGACAGAATGAAAATCCAGAAAATAATTTTTAGGGATTTTTCAAGAGGGATTAATAGGTTGAAACGGCCCCTTGATCACATATCCGCTTTTATGCTGTAGCAAAACTCAAGTGGTTATTGCGGTACGCCAAAAAGCTAAGAGTTGCAGTTTTGCTACGCTGCAGAATGCTGATAGATCATGTTAACTCAACAACGAGAATGTATACAATAGATCTCAGCTCCGAGCACGCGTGATTATGTTCCGCACATAAGGTCTTTACACTTTATCATTTTATTGTCATTACACCCCAGCGTCCGGCACCCTTGGGTCAGCGCCTCAGGGTCCCGCTCCCCAGGGTCCTGCACCTTGGGGACGTCGCTCCAAGCACCCTGGGGCGTCTCTCCGGTGTCTACGGCACCTTGGGATAGACCCTGCTGCAGACCCTCGTCCTCATACACTTGTTTATCATGTGTAAGGACATATTTCAGCAATGTCACAGCCACCGTGAGAAGCGACGGAAGCTGAGGAGCGCCACCAAAAGGCGTTGTATGCAGATGTCCCATCAATTCTCAGCATCTGAGTGAGAAGTTCACTTTAAGTTCCCAGAGGACTTCAAGTGGAAGTATCAGTTCAATCCTGTACTCTCTGCAATATCTATCGCGCATTCTCTCTAAACGTTAACAAATGAGAACGGCAATGTTGATATTGCAAATAAATGGAGCAGCGACAAAGATGAGAACAATTTGAAGGACATCAGTACTGGAAAAGAGATCAGTACGGAGCGGAGCGCATTGTCTACTCCTGCAACATCGCATTCTCGAAAATTGCGTTCTCAAACATCATATGCAGGATCCCCGTATAAAACATAATGTTGTCCATCATGGGTAAGATGTTGCGGTAAGTACTCTAAAAGCTGGCTTTGCCTCAACAGGAAGCAATCATGCCTGCTCCCACATTCAGGTCCGTGCCAATGAGCGATGATCCCATCAGGCATCACAACAGATTGAAACTTGATGGCATGTTTGCGTTTATGCCCGTTGTACATCATCTTTTGGTCCCTGGATGGCCGGCAGATTTGTCAAACAGTTCTGTCAATGAGGCCAACGCAGTTTCCAAGGGCACCTCCCTTAGTGTGCACAGCTTCAGCGAACTCAGCAAGCAAGCCGGCCCAATACAAACATGATCGAAGGTGAGCAGATGCTTGAAACGATGATAAATCAACCCTTGCACCGTGGAATAGATTTACGACAACGCAGATTGGCTGCGGCCAAAGAGTTTTTGGAGATCACATAATCGATTAGGATAGGCAAGCCGACGCAAAAGGATGCACAATGCTTCCCTTGCATCTGCAACAAATTGGCTTTCAGTAACGATCTTTCGCAGAAGCTTGAATAGTTCGATGAGCTCAATGATCTCATTCTTGTCAAAAGCGAAACGTATCGACCCAAAACGACCCTTGCTCGGAGATGCTTTGGAAGTCGAACGGGCTGATGGCGCCCTCACAGACTCATAATGCAAAGCGATGGCAAGCGTAGCGTAATCATCATTTGAGTCCGAATCAGACGAATCCATTTTATTTAACAACTTTTGCCGACAATTCCTTTCCCTAACTATCGTCATAATTTGGCCAAAATTTACGTTTGCAAAAACGTTTACCTATCTTAAAATTCACGATGAATTTGCTAACGTGAAAATTTAATTTTTACGGTTGCAAAAACTCCCTAATAACTCGTAAATAAAAAGTATGGTAGAAAAGCACAATCAAACCAAAAAAAGTTGAGAAAAGATTTCGCAAAAATGCATTGGCCGGGAATCGAACCCGGGGCTAACCGATGGCAACGGTTAATTTTACCACTAAACCACCAATGCGTGTTTCACTTGCCTTTAACCAGAGTTGAAACTGGTGACCTCCTGCTTACTAGGCAGACGCTCTAACCAACTGAGCTATAAAGGCTTTCAAAGTGGAGAATCGGGGTATCGATCCCCGTGCCTCTCGCATGCTAAGCGAGCGCTCTACCATTTGAGCTAATTCCCCAATATAAAGCTCCCAGTCCGGGAATTGAACCGGGTCTCGCCGATCGGTGCAGCTATGCATGACAGGGGCGGATACTAGCCACTATACTAACTGGGATGATGATGAAACGCCCAACGTGGGGGTCGAACCCACAACCTTCAGATTAAGAGTCTGACGCTCTACCGATTGAGCTAGCCGGGCTATTGAAGGAAGAAATGCTCCGCACAGGGATCGAACCTGTGACCTTGGCGTTATTAGCACCACGCTCTAACCAACTGAGCTAGCGGAGCATAAACATTTGAAGGGAATGGTTTGCGTCCAGGATCGAACTGGAGACCTTCTGTGTGTTAGACAGATGTGATAACCGACTACACCACGCGACCAATTTAGAGTATCAACTCCTCGCTCCTGCGTGGACTCGAACCACGAACCTTGACGTTAACAGCGTCACGCGCTAACCAGTTGCGCCACAGAAGCTGAAGAAGTGCCGCCTCTCGGGATCGAACCGAGTACCTTAGCATCTTCAGTGCTACGCTCTCCCAGGTGAGCTAAGGCGCTTGTTAAAAATTTCATTTTTTAGTCATAATATTCGGAATTGAGTACAAAACATCTATCTTTGATTGGCTGTTTTTGCCTTTTCTTTCATCCTACTCAAACTCCAACCTTGAAGTGGCATACTCAATATCACCTCGGCCCCTTATCTCTGCCCTCGCTGATGCCTGCTGTGACATATAGAGATCTGTGCAGAGGAGTGGGAATGTAGTTGGTTAGTTCTCAGATGTGCTCGTCGGAATTTTATATGAGAATTTTGTTTCATTATAGTGTGTTCATGGTTTCTAAGACATCATGTGTCATCAAAGTTGGACTGTGTTCGTGGGGATTTACTTTTATGTTTTCTTTTGTTAATGTTACAACATCTGCACAATGTTTTATTTAATTGTTATGGGGATTAAATTATATGGAGGGAGGTTCCATGAAGCAGGGGACTTGTCATCGAAATTTGAGAGGGAGAGCGAGTTTGGTTTAAGAAGAGCAAAATCAAATTGTTGACGCAGAGTTTTGTTTTGTTATCATTTACTATATAAAACTGTTTACAAACCCAGAGAGAGAGCAACCTAGTGAGTCTTATTAAGTACACTGCCTGCAACCTATATCTGGAGGGTTCTGGAGATCATGCATAGTCATGATGTTCCCTACTTGACTATGCGTCACATTATGATGGTTCATCACTGTCCTGATCACCTTGATTGCTCATGCCCAGCAGGTCCCTTGCACGATTCACCCATGCATATGCATTGTCCTTTGTATTCCACTTCCCAGCTCTGCCCTTTTGCCTTGCAGCGGATGTTATCCTTCCTGCCTGTCAAACGCTCGGTCTGCCTATATGTGTCAGACACTTGCGTCAAAATGCTTGTCTCCATTTTGCTGCATCCTTAAGCATGAGGTAGTTTCTGCTCAAGACCTTTAAGGACCAGTATCTACTTCCACCTTTCTTATTTCTTAATTTTCTGGCTTTTCTCCTACCTTTAAGAGCTTTTACGCGATTTTTGTCCTTTCTTACTGGCAGAGTGGCAGAGAGCTGTCTTCTGTTCTTACCTGTACGCGCTTACGCGTTTTTGTGTCTGGAAGGCACCCCGTCTGCATTCTGGAAGCGGGATGGAAGGAGGGCAAGACTATTGTCTTGCCGTATAGTCCAAAGACGCCATGTATCTTTTCTGGTGCTGGGACTTGGCAGGGAAGGGATCTGAAAGCCTTTGTAGTTATTTAGGAGGGTGTAAGAACCAGAAACGTAGAGTTGGGCTCCACATTACACAACCCCATACCTACCTACCCCACCCTTGCTTCCAAAGTCATTGCAATGGACACCATCCTTGCTACTCAACCAAATCATCTTTGCCCTTACCAAGAAAGCAGGTACAAACAACTCATCTGCAAGTGTGAAGAACAGCATCTGCAAATCGCAAAAGTTTTTTCGTGAGGCAGCACCAACCCCAAAAAGGAACCTGAGACCCTCACCTGCTCTCTATTCTTTTCCCTTATGTTATAGGGTATTGCTTAAAGAGGTGACATAGAACTTACAAATGTTCAATGTGTTGGCGTCTCATAAAATTATTTGTCCCAAGACCCGTCAGTCCCAAAGAAAAGACAAAGGTAGGCGCTCAAATAGAAATACAGGCATGAAAGACATGCAAAAGATAATAGATAGAGAATGGAACACATACAAGAGATAACAGATAGAGAATAGAACACATACAAAAGAAAACAGATAGAGAATAGAACACATACAAAAGAAAACAGATAGAGAATAGAACACATACAAAAGAAAACAGATAGAGAATACTTAGTCCAATGCGCAACACCCATTGTAGGAGGGAGACAGGGACGGAGATTGGTACAAAGTAAGGAAAAAAAGGGGATCCCTCAAAGAGAGTCCTCAGGTGCCAAACACTAAGCAATCTTACAGCACTGCCTGTGTCAGCCGCCTTGTTCTTGCCAATACGTTGCCGCCTAGACCAGGTTCTGCTGATTGCGCCCCGTTGCGGATTTTGAAGACCTCTCTATAGCCCCCTCTGCTAAGCCCTGGCATACAGAGGTAGAGAACCACAAAATAGGTGACAATGTATCTATGGGGAAAAACTATGAAAACTCCGGAGAGGGAAAAGAATGAGACGGGAACAAGGAAACAACAATATTCGCACGATGTCTATATAAGCAACGCATTTATACCTAATAGTGAGGTAATATTATAATCTCACAGGATATCTTTGAAGTTCCCTTTCATGACGTTGGCAACAAGGTCCCACAAAGGCCAAAGTCCAGAGCAACCCTGACAGATGCGCTCAACCGCCTCCACACATAGGCGCACATTCACGTGCGAGGGGTGAAGGCAAGTCGCATTGGCAGAGAATGGTATTTAAGATAGGAAGACATTAAGAACCGTGGAGCCAGGTGCTTGAGGTAAGTTGGCGGCAGGTTGGGAAAGGCAATGAGGAGGAAGTCGTTCACTTGAGTACATATAAATGCGTGTTTTTGACTAACCTTGGCATCAGCATAGTCATAATTTTGGCAGGGTTAGTGGTAGGCGATGGGTCCCAGCATTCAGTAAGCGAGAGCGTTAAACTGGTGGCGGTGAATGGTACAGCTGGTATAACTTGCTGAAACGGTCTTGGTTGGTAGGGTTGTCTTGCCGTCGTTGTTGGTATTGGTAGGTCGTTCAAGCTTCTCCTCTTTCAAATGCTTTTTTTTAACATTGTTTATAAAACAAAATAAAACCCGCAACATCTCCTTCCATCCGTCGCCCATCTTTTGGCCTAAAGAACAAACCCCCCCCGTATTTTCCCTCTAGAACCCCTCCAACCTCCAAGTCCCAATCCTCTTCCATTAATCCCCACCACTTGCTCAAACTCCACCCTCCTACCACACCATGCCTTACAAAACAAATGTAAATCTGAAAACCATTAAAAATATATAAGATTAAAACAAACTTTTACGCCAAGTTGAGTGCCCACAATAACGCATAATATTTAGCGTCGCGTCGACGCTTCCGCCTTCATCCCACGTCCATTGACTCTCTAAGACTTCACGGCGCCCAAATACCAAGACCCCTCCATTTTGTTAAACTGGACGCCAGCTAGGTGGTGACGACAGCCACGGGCCAGCGGGAAAGACACGGCCTACACGGGACCCATCCTCACAAAGAGTAGTCAAAGCGATAGAGTGGGCGGCATCAAAGAAGGCGGAGGGGAGGCAGTGCGCTGATCCACGTAGTTGGCCACACCTTGAATTGTAAGTACAGGAGGAAGAAGGTTAAAAGCAAGACTCTGAAGAAATGGGGCAACAGAGGGCCGGAGAGGGTTGCGGAACCGAAAAGTGGTGGTAATTGTACGGCGAAAAAAGGAATAGGTGGCAACATTAGCACGGGAAAATCAGTGGATACGCCCGGCCAAGTAGCCAGCGTTGTTGGTTTGATAAATATAAAGTGTGTTAGCGCGAGAATATGGGAACTATTTTACAGAGGAGATGAAGAGCAGAAAGACTAGTGGAAACAGGGACTGAAAAATAGATCTAAGAGAAGTGAATTGAGCACATTGAAGGGCGAGGAGATCAAAAAAATTAGAGGGGCGTAAAGCAAGACCATATTCAAATAGGGGACAAATAAAAATTAAATTGATTGATTAGAACTAGGGAGAGAGAAGGCCTCCAGCCCCAAGCATCCATCCCTTGACTCCGGAAAAGACCGATTGCCTGACGTGTGTTGGCACTTCTTTTAAGCATTAACGCAGCCATATCCACTCCATTAGTTACACCATCACCTCCCCAAAAACCCCGCTCACTCCTGTGGGTGCAACACCACATCCCCATCTCAATTGTATCCGCTCCCTCGACGACCAGGACAGATTTAGTTGGGGCATAGTAGACCCCCACTTCCTTCCCCCACTCGGAGCACTCCTTGGCCAACCTCTGCAAACCTGGAGAGGTCATCGCGATTAATTGTTGTACTGTAAGCTAAAAACAAAGAGTTAAGACCTCCAAACCTGACATGGTAATATATGACAAAGAGAACGTAAACAAGCAGGGAGCGGATTTATAAACCAAAAAAATAGAACAGAAGCCAAACGTGTCCCCTGGAGGAGACCCTGTCTTACAGGGATGGGATCATATTTGAAACCGGGAACAAGAAGGTAAGCAGCGTTAAAATCAAATCAACAACAAAGGAGAGGGACAAGGAGTCACGCGTCTCCGGCATCAAAGCTATGCCCTCCCAAGGAGGGTCATTAGTAACCATCACCATCCCCAAAAACTCCGCCAGCTCCTGTCGGTGCAACACCCCTTCCCCCATCACATCCACTCCCTCTACAACAAGACGGACGTAGTAGGGCATACTCAATCCCCACTTTGTAATGTTACGAAGCAACTCCACTGAACAGGCACAAGTGCGG